CGACAACACAGATTGGTCAGCACCACTGTCGAGTAGTGTCGTCGCCTTGAGGCCATTGATAGCAATCCAAGGTGCGATGAGCGCGCGCTTCGACCACATCGTTCGCAGCCACGGCTGCGCCAATAAACTTGGTCTTCTTGTCGGCCTTCTTGTCCGGCGCGGCCACAGCACCGACATGCGGTTTTTTGAACCGCTGGTCCAGAAGTCGCTGTGCTTCTCCAGGCTATCCCTTCGGGCACTTCAACACCTTGTGGTCTTCACTACCACACTTTAAACATCCCCTCGCATACGGGGCGCTTGTAGCGGTCATCGCCGGGTCTCTGGCTGGCGCCCCGCTATCCGCTTTCTTTGGTGGAAATTGGCGCCGCGGTTTTTCGCCATATTGCCGCGGCCGATTCGGCTCCGGCTTTGGATCCATCGCAACTAATTGTGACTCGAACAACATGAAGTTGTCCATTAGGGACACTAACCAGCAGCAGAACGACTTGACGTCGGACTTGTACGCCTTGTTAGCTTCCCGCGTCAACTGTCGCTCGACAGTTGCCTTCAACTGCGACGGTCGAATCGCCGCCGTGAGGATCTTGACCGACTGCTTCGGTTCCTGCTCCGGCAAGTGCGCCAGATTCAGTTGCTCCAACTTGTCGTAGAAATCGGCTAGCAGCAGACCGACTCGAGACTCAGCGTCACGGATCTTCGTGTCCATCTTGAGCGACGCCATCCTTTCGCAACCGAGTCCGGGTCCAATTCTTGGACCTCATGCGCCGATAAAAAGTAATCGCGCCAGTCGTTTTCGGTAATTTCTTCAAACGACTTTCCAAAATCATGTGCGCACACACGCGGCACAATTTTCTGGTCAATGCATGCCGCCAACGGCATCAAAAACATGGTACCACCCATGCCGTGGTTTAGCACTTCCACGCGCCGCGAGTAGGATAGATACTCATCCATGAACCACGACGTTCGCGCTTTGTGCTACCCTTGTACATAGGCGCCAGCGGCACCTGTTGCACACCCATCAGGTTCTCCATGCGGCTTGTCGGCGCCGCTTGTTCGGACGGAAATAGCGATCGTTGATTGGCCGCTTCAGCGAATAATCCCCATCGCTCGCTATCCCGTCGGACCTTCTGGTTCAGCTCTTCTACCTTGTAGATCTGCTGGCGAATCGCGTCCGACGCCTGGCGGAGCATTTCTTGATAAGCCTCGGAGACCCTGGCTTGTTCGGTCATCGCTCGCTTAAGTTCGTATTGCTGACGAACCAGTTCTTCTTGTTGACGTAAAAGAATCGCTCGAGATTCTTCTTGTTTCAAGCGATTCTTCTCCAGCGCCTTCGTCATCGCAAACTGTAGGGAAGACTCATCTTCCAACTACTTCGCCATGGCTTTTTGCTGCGCATGGAACTGCGCCAGCTGTTCGTACGTCATTTGATTGAAATGACTTGACGTCATCGCCCCTCGCTCCACGCTTTGCATCCGCAGCTCGTCCATCTCCGCTTGGTTCGGCGGGGGCAATGGCACGGCCAACACGGTCTCCATAGACCACGTTCGCGTCACACGAGCCAGGTTGCTCGTAAACGGCAGAATTCCTTGTTCCATAGTCGTACGGCAAGTAGCAGGCTGCTACTAAAGAATTCTTTGTTGCGTCTCAACTTTACGGACCTTGCGAAGTCCGATCCAAAGACAAATCACAATGTGAATTCCCCCCAGTGGCAAGTAGTCACTGGGGCTTAACCCTAACCTAATCAGACAGCTGCTGGGCAGCCAATAGTCTAACTAGCGAATAGGATCACACCCAGGATATCCAACCTAATCGAACACTTGGATACCTTCTTGGGAGGGGTTCAGGGGTTATGCGAATGGCAAATTCGCAACAGGATGTCATACCAGTATAGTATCAAGAATAAATTAGTTAGAAATCTGCACACGTCAACATAATATTAACACTAACATGGTCACAGCCAACGCCTAGCGAACAAGTACCACGTGCCTCAGATCGCACAAAAATCAAATCTGAAAATTGTCAGTGCACTGATCTGAGGAAATCGCAGATTCGAATTCTCAGGCATTTTTGGTAGTTCTCTCGAAATTTCCATAACGTTATTCGATTGGTTGAATCGAAGAAAGGGGCGGTTTCAGAACCGATCAAAACCTCTGTTTTCGTATAATTTTCTATATATATAGAGGTTACGTTGAGCACGAGACGGTGCAATTCGAAACTTGGCCATCGAAGCGAACGCCGACACCACCATCACCGAAACTGGACACCATCACCGATATCGGTAGGTTCAAGGAAACTAACGCCACAGGGCACTCCCATCGAGAGCAATCACGTCCGCACATGTAACCCGAAATGCAACCGTACTACAGTAGTATTTGATTGTTGTTGCTCCCGTCTGCTAATCACGACTGTGTTATCCTCGGACTTACTTAACTGTGAGCTTACGTACCGGTAGACTTGAGGTAACATGTTTCATGAAACATGAGAGTAGTACATGTTTGCATGAGAACCCGATACTACAGACGAATAGGCAGTGGTAAACTGTGTCGGCAATCACGCTGTCATGTCGCCGCGACTTTCAGTTCCTGCTGTTCATTTCCCAGACTCAGGG